TTTTTTGAGGTGTTTCGATGCAATGTAGAAAAACGTCCCTTCTCGGAGCGGTCTCGTAAATCCGATTCCGGCCCCAGAATGGACGTTTCTTAACTCCATACATCCCAAAATGTAAAATTTTGTATGTTTATATCGTGCGATTTGCCGAGTTTAGGATGGCTGACCATATGAGGGTTTAAATCGAAAGCTACTATTAACTAAAGCCTTAAATAAAAGGGGTAAAACATGTGAGGCCGAAACTAGATTTCACTCTCGGGGCTGACGAAAACGGGAAAATCGAAAAAACACGCCTAATTCAGTGTTTTGAACCGGATCTTTTGATGTGTTCCCCACCCCACCTTGTACACGGCTTATCAAAGCAATTTCCTAGAATTTTGCGATACAATTTAAAATTTTGGCGCAGACGAAAAGTCTAGACGGTGGCAAGAGTTTCTTGCACATTTTCTTACCCGTTTTCAACGTCTTAACTGTACTTTGTTTTTGGGACTTTTCATTGCCAGTTTTTGGTATTGGCGCCTCACTGGGCTGACAATGAACCCTAGTAGTGGCCTTAAAAATATCGCAAAAACATTTTCAATACCAAAAATGCGCTTCTCTGCTAGAAAATGGGAATGAACGCGTTGGTCAATGCCAAAAAATGGCAATGATCATTTCCAAACAATAAATAGTGCTTTTGTGTCGTAGTTCTGTTACTTGGTACTGGACTGGGCATCGATGGAGGAATACGAACGGGATGTGTTCACTGTTAAAAATTCTGTACGCAGAAACAGAATTCATACAGATCGTCCTGTACTTCCATACTTCGGTCAAAATCTGTTCGACTGGTATATGAGGGATAAAGACTTGACATTGTCTGGAAAGAACTTTCCTCCAGAATAAAGTACAGTGCAAACTACAGGATTACACTGTAGTTATTTACTGTTCTAATTATTAACAGTGTTGCCTAGCTAGATATCAGACTTGACGATCTGCATTGATATAGACAACGAGGTCCCTCGGAGTGGGGCGGCGAGGATGGACGAGAAGGTGCTCCTGCGGTTTGGCTGTGTACCAATCCACCGATCGTTGACAAGCCTACGAAGGGAGGACAGGGTGTTGTTATCGGCCATATCAGCGTGGAAAGCTGGGTGCAATCGGTGCAGCCGGGCCGCGCCAAGCGCTGCTGGTCCTGAAGACTCTCAGGATCCGTGCACACTAATCGAGCTCAGGCCTCATTGCACCGGCCCGGAATCGCGCGCGTGAAAGCCCATGTGCACAATTCGCCCAAGTATGCTCTGAGGTATGCCCTATAGTGCTGGACGCACTCTGCACTGAACGCGCCGGCAGCCGCTAGTAGGCAGTCGGGGTCAGTGGGCAGAGAGGCGCAGGCGCACGCCGTCGCGCGGCCGCAGCACCAGGTCGGCGGTGGCGTCCGGGAGCTCGGTCATGGCCAGTTTTTGGCCTCTTTCTCGCTAAAATTTGGCTTTTGAAGAAAGGCGGCCAAAAGTTTTGCAAAGCTATACAGGGTGGGTGATCCGCGCCGTTGTTTTTGAGAAGGTAGGCTAGCCCGCCCGCAGCCGGGGCCGGTCGCTGAGCTCTGAGGAGGTGCGCAGCCAGCGCGCGCTGGTTGCGCAGTTGCGCAGTAGAGATGCGCAGAGCTCCACTCTCCCCCTTCTCCTCCCGCCTCTCCCCTCCCCCGGCAACCCAGCAAACGACATCTAGCGGATGGTTTGCGAACGACCAACATCAACAAACGACACAGCAACAACCACCACAACAACAACAGCCACTACCACCACCACCAGCGCGCACTGTCCGCGACCCCCGCGGGGCAGCACGCGGGCTTCGCGGGGGTAGCCTGCGGACTTCGTGGGGCAGTGCGCGGGCTTCGCGGGGGTAGTGCGCGGGCTTCGCGGGGGTAGCCCGCGAGACCGCGGGGGTAGCCCGCGAAGGACTCCGCGGTATCGCGGGGGTAGCCAATGGGTCTGCGGGGGTTGCTCGCGGTCTCGCAGGGGTAGCCCGCGTGTACGCGGGGTAGCTCGCGGTCTCGCGGGGTGTCTCGCGGTCTCGCGGGGTGGCTCGCGGTGCCACGAGGGTAGCTCGCTGGGGTAGCTCGCGGTCTCGCGGGGGTAGCCCACGGGTCCACGGGGGTAGGCCACGAAGGGTGCGGCCACCCCATGGGCTTTGCGGAGAGGTTTGCGGAGGGAGAGGGGGGAGAGGAAGGGGGCGAGTGGAGCTCTGCGCATCTCCACTGCGCAACTGCGCAACCAGCGCGCGCTGGCTGCGCACCTCCACAGAGCTCAGCGACCGGCCCCGGCTGCGGGCGGGCTAGCCTACCTTCACAAAAACAACGGCGCGGATCACCCACCCTGTACACACCTTCCGCACCGTGGGCCTCTCGACCTACACCGCGGCTCACGGCGGGCGCAGGCTGCTGCCGCGCCTCTGTCTGACTGACCCGAAGGATCA